TGAGACTAAAACCAGCTTACAAAGTGTTCTGATGGAACAAGTTTTATTCCATGCTGAAAAGAGAAGAAAAGAAACGCAACGTTTCGGCTGATGGGGCCTTCATCAGGTGTCATTGACACCCTGACCTCCACAGGTGAAACGTTCTGTTTTTTTTCCCTCTCTTTTCAGAATGGAATAAACCTTTATTTGTTCCTTTGCAGCCTACGCATACTGTCGCAGCTCCCTGCTTAAAGTGGTTTGGGCAATCGGACACAGCACAGATCTTGCAGCCCAGACTTCATGCAGGAAATGCAAGAGCTCCGATCTCCCCCCCTGCTTTCGCCTCTAACTCCCTCACCTCTCCCTCAACTGCAGTTCCTGGCGGAGCGCTCAGAGGCCACAAGAACCAAGATCTCGCGCATGGTGGCCGTGATGGTGCTGCTGTTCACCGTGTGCTGGGGTCCCATCCAGTTCTACATCCTGGTGCAGGCCTTCAGCCCCCAGTTCCAGCACAGCTACTCCACCTACAAGCTGAAGATCTGGGCGCACTGCATGTCCTACGCCAACTCCTGCGTCAACCCCATCGTCTACGCCTTCATGGGCGCCAGCTTCCGCAAGGCCTTCAAGAGGGCGTTCCCCTGCGTCTTCAAGCAGCGTGTGGCTGTGGCCCCAGCTCCACGAGGCAATGCCAATGCCGAGATGCATTTCGTCTCCTCTGGGTCCTAGGGGCGGCAATATCCCCCCCTACACACACGCACACGCACACACACCAGCATCTCCTCTTTGAGTTCTCCCACCCTGGTTGTGTCCTTCTGCAAAGGCCAAGAAATGTTCTCAGCTACTTCAGTGACAATTTTTTTTTTGAGCTCGCCAGTTTTCGCAAGGGTTGGCAGAGGCACTAAAAAGTTTTTAAAAGTGACAGGTCTCGTTCCTGAGGGGGCAGGAATTTGTCACCTGTGGATCAGCTGTGCCTTGTCTCAAATCCACTGGGATTCTGTGATCTCCATCTTGTTTCTTTCCTTAGAGTTCTGGTGTATAAAAGTAACAATCCTTACACTTACAGAGCACTTTTCGGGACACTCCATTTAAAGCGCTTTACAGGTAATGGGGACTCCCCTCCACCACCCCCAATATGTAGCCCC